AGCAAGGGACCAATGAACAGATACCAAAAGAAAAGAATATCCACACCTTTATCCCAGAGGTTCTGCCAGGCATCTGTGGCCGCTCCGAATCTTCCCCCGCGTGGTCTCATCCAAGATGGCGGCTCCTGGCACAGCCGAGCGTCCCAGAGTAGAAAGCACTGGATTTCTTGCTTCTGCCACAAATTCCTCCAGCTGTGAGCCTTCCAACCTTCTAAATATTCCTTTATATGTGGTTCAGAGTTCTGGGACCAGCCGCTGAGCCTGCTTGGTCGGGTATTCTGTGTTGTTGTTGGCGGAGCTCTTTACTACACATCCACCCGATCCGCCATCTTGTTTGTTCTCCTTGCCTCCTAGTTTCTTGTGTAGTGCCTATGGTCTCCAAAGCTTGCAAGTGGCCATCCAACCATAACATTTGGCCTCGACTAACCTGGAGCTACCGAAGGTGAGTCCGGAAGAGGAGGCAGATATGGAATGTGTGGCTAATCACCTGGATGGTGCCTGGCTACCATTACATTCTGATTTCAAAAAAAAAAAAATCTATAAAAGAATCCTGATAAAAAGAAGGAAAATACAGCACAAAATTTCAAATTTCAAATCCAAACTTTTGGGAGCCAAGGGGGCTGGATAAAACCCCCCAGAAACTACTGCTTTGAGATAATCTTTGAAACCTAAGCCAAAAATACTCCCTGAAGTTTTCTTAAAACCAAACAACAGTTTATCTTAGCCAGTGAACAAGGTCTACCTTGACCATTACGCTCTTTTAAGAACTATCTATATGGCCCAGGAGACATCAAGGAAAGTGGTCAGGTCCCCTCAGAACAAACCCCCTTCCAAGACTAAGATTCAAAGGGAATACACACTCTGATTGCTGACCACGTTCATAACTGTTAAGGGGAAGTGAGGGAAAACAGCAATGAAGCTGTGAGCTAAGCCCTACAAGGTTCAATAGACTTCTTTGAATCTGGGTGGCAAGACCTAGGGACTCTTGGGCCCAGAGTCAGTGACATAGCCACAGAGGACCAGAGTGGAGAGTGAAGCATCCAGCTGATAAGAAGAGAGGGCGCGCAAGAACACCCACACTTGCAGATAATACACACTTGACCTAGCTTCAATGACTGGATGATCAGAGCTCAACTAGAAGAAGAAAGAAGAGGAAAACAAGGGTAGTATGATACAACTTGATGAACCTGACCTAAACCTATGAATGCAGTAGCTCAAAAGAGGGAACAAATCTTTACAGCGAGGATCATTCCCACCCCATCCATACACAGAGTAGACAGGGATGGGCAACTTG